GATCTTTTCTGCCGATGGCAGTTTGTCGTATACGTCATGCTTTAGCTCTATTGAATACTGTATAATGACCCTCTCTGGACAAATATAATTCTAATTTCTGATTTCCCATTTGATGTATTCTTCGATGATATTGCAATGCAACRTTTTTTTTGCTTAATAACATGTAGTTTCATAAGCAATTTATCATAGACACTTTTAAGGAAGTTTATAAAGAATACATTAGGATGTTTTCTATAAACTTCAGAACAATAACAGTAATTACCTTGGGAGAATGTGAAAAGCATATCGTTTCTCTCCAACAACAACTGTGTGACCTGCATTGTTCCCACCCTATAAAATACATCTCTATTATTGCATACTATTTGACTTGAGTATTTGGGATGGTTGGGAGGTTGGAAATTCAACTAAGTTTTGCATTACAGTACTTTCATATGTCAATATTAACCTACATGTAGATATGGGAACCATACTATATTTTAAGTTTCAAAAAGGAGCACATTTTTTTAAAGAGTTTCCGTGTAGAGACAAGACCATACTATACTAGTACATGTGCATATCTCCCCACAATTCGKGAGTAGGTTATGACGTCATGATTCGATTTCTGTTGTTCCTAATATTCATCAAAACAAGTTCTGTACAACTAGAGCACCTCTACAACATTAACGCTAATTTTTACGTGTGACTTGGCACTTTAAAAGAAAAATAAATTCAAATTATCAGTTACACGTGGTGACATTTGCATAAGTTTACCACGTTCTGGTCGATCGCACACAATCTGTTCACGAATAAAGTTACATCACRACTATTTTAGACTACTTTAAACTGCCGAATGCCAGTTAAGGGCTAGACAATTTGCCACCATACACTATGCTACACTTTTATGTTGCGGTGACGTGGTTTAAGAACTTTAATCGAGCTCAAGGCGGGTCAGAATCGCTTGATAACGAGACGCTTGATTAGCTGTAGTCCGAACCGATTTAYTATTTCCCTGATCAGGAGTCTTACAGTTTGAAAATAAAATATTGTTACAGACAGTGGGACAGAAAAAAATAACATATACCTCATATATTAACCTTACCTGACATCTACACACGATGTCGGCTGTAGTTGCTAAAATATCAACGAGTTTGCCTTTTCCCTCGTCGCCCCACTGTGATCCCAAAACCACAGTTACTTTCGTTTTAGGCAGCACTGCTTCAATCACTTGCTTGCTWGGACCATTTCTAACGATCGACATGGTATATATAACCTAATCTTGACGAATGAATTTGTAATTTAGCTCTTGAATTTGTTCTAATAAACTCCTCGTATACTGTTGTATTATCAAGCGAACGAATTTCGTAATTATTAWGTAGCCGAGCCTTGGCGGGAAGATTCTAGCACAGGTAACCCAACAAAGTTCAACACAAAAAACAATGGATGGTTGGTAAATGGTATTTCATTGAGAACGAACTATCAATGGGAAAGTAAAATAGTTAACATTATTTTTTTTCTTTTTCATCATGTTTTCATGGCATCTTTTGTTGCGAGCGAGGCGAGGACTATTGAGTTTTCTAGTYACACCACTAAAAACACTTGTTTTTCCTACACGCGGTCAGTAGTCACTTTCCAGGCCCTTTGTGATTTTTTTTTATTCATTGTAACAATAGTTGGGCCTTTCTGTATTTCTGTGGTATTGTATTCTGGTTTCCTATGGCAGAATTTCCTGAATTTCTCGCTGGCAACCAATCGTGACTTACAGCTGGCTGGGAAAGAATGTATATTTCTCCCAGGAACCCGTCGTCGCCTCCTATATCTTTAGGTGACATAATAATRATATAATAAATGTGGTTCTAATCGACACTAGCTGACCCTCCCACCTAAGCACCAACGMCAAGCTCATCTACTAGTGATGAGTTTAATATGTGGTCTTATATAGCGCATTATCACCTGTTTCAATACGCTTTCACAACGAAGTAATGGTCGGACCGCTATATTTAAGGCGCACAGCAGCCACGCGGCTTACAATCATGAGTGTGAGTTAGTTCAAATAAGTAAGTAAGTCACTGAGGGTGGTCACTRCCAGAGATTTGTTTACGTCCTCAGTGGTTCTTTTACGTCCACCTTATAACAGTGTTAGAGTGAAAGCATACGGGACCTCCGGCTTTACGTCCTTAACCGAGAAGACGGCGAGGCAGTGAAAGAATAAAGTATCTTGCCCAAGGACACAACGTGATCACCCGGGCCTTTCAGACCTGAGTCCGGTCCCCTAACCACTAGACCATCACGCCTCTTACATGCATCGAAGCGAAAACACTAGTACTTGCCTTTGAATGATTGTTCTCAAAGAAAAAGATAAATCTCGCATTGGCTTTTGGAAAAATGGTAGGAGAAAATGTTTCATATTTACACTAAAGTTCAGACTCATTACACTTGAGTAAACAAATCAATTATTATTCCATTATGAATCATTATGAATAACATTAATCATTCAGATCAGATATGATTGGTTTTTTGGATGTAGTTTCAAGCAAGCCAGACCTTTCATCGCTAGTTTTCAAACTCAAATTT